AAATATAAACATATAGTATTTCTGTAAAGTCTTTATATTACTATCTGTTACATAAAATGCTATCACATTTATGAACCATAATTTATTAAGTTGTTTCCCTAATAGTAAATATTTAAACCGTATGTTTACTTTAGAGTCAACTCTTGATTTAGAATATTTGTCATGCATTTTAGATACATTTAGGTTACTTTTTTGGTTAAATTCCCAACTTGCAAAGGTGAAAGACATGAGCAGCTTTAAACATTTGTGTTCTGTACTATTGTATTACTCTCCAAAGGGTTGCATCATTTTGTGGTGCTGGTAGCCATGAAGGATTACGCACATTTTTTTCACAGTTCCTTTACCACTAGATATTATCATTTTTTTTTTAAGTGCTGTGTAAGTGGCCAAATTACATTTCTAGAACATATGGTCTAAAAATGCAATTTGGCCACTTACACATATTAGTTTGCAGACATCTATTTTCTAGGATGATCTGCAGATACGTTTCATAGCTCCTGGAAGAAACATGGGTTGGAGTCCCAGGACCCCGTAACTAGTCCTGAAGGGCTCTCTGGGGTCAAAAGGGCCTGGACTGTTGGATGTCTATGCCCACCTAGGCTCTGCAGAGAGCTGAGGGCTTGGAGCAAGCTTGGCTGTATCCACAGCCTTGTCTCCAGCCTAACTTTCCACCAGCCTTATTCTAAGGCATTGATCCATGGTGAGTCAGCAATTGGAAATTCAGAATGCATTTAATATTATAAATGGACCAGCCAAACCAGGTAAAGGTAACTTAACCCATTGAAAGGTGAAATATAGTGTTTGCTTTTGTTTTCTTTTAATAGCGGAACTCAAATCAGTGGCATCCCTTTTATCTTTTAGGCATTATGAGATAAATGCCAACAATCTCTTTGCAAACAACTTACCACCTATCATGGCTGTTCTCAGACATTATCCTCCTCAACTTCCCACAGCCACCTGGAAGTAGGGACAAGACAGTACTGAGAGATACAGGAAGAAGGAGTTGGTCTGAACAGGAAGTGGCAAAAAAATAGCAGATCTAAAGATCTGTTGTGACACTTGGCCAAGGGACTCTGGGACACCTGCAGGGAGGCGACTGGGTTCACCCTCCTCCCTCTACAAGCACCAGACCATAGCATAAGGTTGAGAGGAAGCTAGATTCCTGCCTATGCTGTGTCTTTTCCAGAGCCTGAAAACATCCTCAACAGAAAAGAGTTAATATAAATAGGAAATGACAAATGCCTCCTAATGTGAGAGGTCTCTGAAATGGAGGTGAAGGGATGGAGAATGGCGAGAAAGAGATAGACATGCTTTCCTAACAGAACTAGAAGCTAGATAAGAGGTTGCACCCACAGAGGAGGTGACTGAACCTAGGAGCGGGATTGGAGGAAATGCTGAGACTCAAGGAAGAAGGAGGGTGAACTTGCAGCAGGAGGGGCAGGGAAGAGAGGACACACTTGGCTGTCCTGGAGGCAGATGCTTGATATATTAGGTGTTCCCCCCCGTAGTGGGGAAGTCAGACCGGTGGATAAGTAGCACAGAATAAGGGGGTGAATTCATCATTATTAGGGGCCACATGGAAAACTGATTCTGACCCTACAAGGAAGAAGCAAAGCTTAGAGTTTTTGTGGGGACAGGATGGAGCTCATTCTGCAAGGGGAGAAGAAGAGGGTCTGTATAAAGACAACAGGGCCATGATGGGTGGGATATTTTGACTTCTTAGAGCTGGTGTCTGCAATGTTCCTGACAGTATGGTCAGACCTAAGAAGCCTTATGTCTCAGACAGGCTCTGTGACACACTGGAAACTGGGGGAGATGTCTGCAAGGTCCAGAAAGTTCTCCTGGAAATAGATGAACTTGGGGACCCAAGGAAATACTTCAGCACTGCCTTTTACTCAGCATGGAGCTGAAAGAGAAGGACTGAGAAAGTTTTGGGATGCCAAGGAAGTGAAGATGACATTTAGAAATGGAGGGTATTTCCTAAGGACAGAGCTAGAATCTGGCCTGTCCTGCCACCATTAGAGCTTCTGATTTGGCCCTGTCAGGGTCCTATCCATAAAGGTTCTTCCCCATGCACAGGGAGCTCTAGGCATGTACTTGTGCTGGATATTGTCACCTGTTCTTGGAGGCACTGAAGTCAAGGCCTTTTCCTGTATTCACTTTAAACGAGGCTCAGTCAAGTTCTAAGTAGAAATATTAAATGGATAAGATTTACCACAGTCCATCCTCCCCTCTTTCCCATCTCTACACTGTTATACTCGCCTACATTTCCATAGAATTACAATCCCCTAGCATTAGATTTTCTGCCCTCTCCAAGGGTGAACCCCCAGTCTGAGACATAGGCCCATGCCATGACCAGAAAGCTCATCCTAGAGCCTACCTCCAGCTCCCATCACAAAATGTGGGACAGCACCCTCTCCAGGTGCTCCTGCTTCGGCATTTTCAGGCAGATTCTAGATCCAGCCACATGCTTCCTCAAGCAGACACAAGAAATATATTGGCAGCCTGGCATAGTGGCGTGAGCCTGTGGTCCCAGCAACTCAAGATGCTGAAGCAGGACGATCGCTTGAGCCTAGGAGTTCAAATTCAGCCTGGGTAACATAGCAAGACTGTCTATATTTTTTTAAGAAAAAGAAAAGATAAATATAATGATGAACTTAGTCCCTGTTTACAAATAGACAAATGGGGATATGGAGTATTCAGCAGGTCCAGAAGGCATCTCCTACTGTCTCCTCTGTACTTCCTTCCTGGTTAGCAGGGATTTGAGGCTGAGCCATTGTCAGCATCCCTTCTGGATGTTCCCTCCTTTTCAGCTCAGGCCAGCAGGACTATAAATGTGGGTGCTTTCATGCAGCTGTGCTCACCTGTCCCTGAGCCCAAACTGAGTCACAAACACCTGTGGCTTGAAGGAAGTCACGTGTCCCATTAGAGTGGCCACATCAGGCTTTCCTTGGAGTCCCTTTCCACTCTGTCTAAGTCAGCATATTTTGTTTTCATTCTTGGAGTATCACTTGAAATGTAGAAACAAACCTGATCTTAATTTTTCCCTCAAAGTGACATGCCCTTTTGAAATTGTACAAATAACAATGTCTGATTGTCATGTTGAATTGCAAGCATGGATGTGAAATGCTCCAAAGTCTGACTGAAACCAAATATTAGGTCATAAGTCAACATTTTGCTGAGAAACTTGGTTACTAAGAGGTTGAAAATGTCTATCTTTTTGTGAGAAAACTTGTTTGCCAGCAGGAAAAATTTATAGGACTGTTATCTTCCTACATGGAAGGAGAGAGATGTGTGTAATTTTGCAACCTGGGTCAGAGTCCTTTAGGACTTCTGAAATTGGATTGGTTGAGGACTGAGGCCTTGGTGTAATATTTGAATTGCTCCCTGAGGTGAAAGTCAATGAGTGGCACAGGTGTGTGTCATTTCTTACAAGGTTGTGGGCAAAATTGTCTGAATGTCTGGGAACAGGCTCTTCCCACTGCAGGAGGTCACACTCTGCCCACAAATCCTTCTAATGGAGAACTTCTGACAAAGAAATAAGCCGTCTTGGGCCATGGGCACTTGGGGTCTTGAAAGAAACAAAATCTTGACTAACTTCATCTAAGTAGCTATGACACTCTTTGGAAAGTCTCAGTGGACATGAAGACTCAACTGAACAAAGGCAGGAGCCAGGGACAATGCCCTCAACAATGCCAAGAAGCCTGTAGCTTGCTAGCATGGCCTATTATTGTCTGTGATATTTCAGTGCTGTTACTAAGCCCATAATGAGGACCCCCATCATCTAGTGCGAGCCATGGTAGAAAGGAAAGAAGTGGCAACAAATTGTCTGTGTGCTCACTATAGCATTAAAGCCAGGCACTTTGCTGCATTAAGAACATCCTACTTTGTTTCAAGATGGCCAAGGGACAGTGTCAGGTTTGCATCTCTTTCCAGAAAGTAAAGCAGCTTGCATTCCCTCCCAGTGCCCAAACTCCAGGCAAAGTTAGAATTGTGGTTCAGGATAGAAGACAACCTCTGCTGTGGATGGGTGTGACAGAGTAGGACTTTAACTGTCACCACAGGCAAATTCCCGATGGAAGAATTTGCCACCACTGCACTGATATGGAGACAGTGACACCAGAAACCTGCACGTGTGTGTGCGTAATGTGTTTACATGTGTGTGTGTACAAACATATATGCATGTGAGTGTGTGCATACGTATGTGAACACATACTTATGGGTGCATACATGTGTGTGTATTACACATATGTATGTGTATGTGCACAGGTGTATGTGTACAGGCATGTGTGTGCATGTGTAGGGGTGTGTGCAGGCATGTGCATACCTTCATGTGTGGGCAATAAAAGACAAGTGGCAGAAGCCTGGCATGGCACCATAACAGTCAAGCCCTGTCCCTGATGCATTTTTCCTCATGCACAGGGGACTCTAGACATGTGCATGTGCTTGTGCTTGATATTAAGTCACCATTACTCTGGGGCACTGAATTCAGGGCCATTTTCCAGATTTACCCTAGGCAGAGCTCAGACAAGTTCTAAGTAGAAATATCAGTGGATAAGATTTGCCACGGTTCTATTCTCCCCTGTTCCTCATCCCCAACTGTTATGCTCCCCAACAATTCTGATCTGAGAATCTCAGTCACCTGGCATTAGATTTTCTACACTCTCCAAGGCTGAGCCTTCTAATCTGAGACATAGGCCCATGGCACTGTGACCAGGATGCTCGTCTTAGAGCCCACCTCTAGTTCCTCCGCCCTTCTCCTCTCCATGAGATGTTTTGTGGCTGGTCTGCACACATTTTATGTCTAGTCAAAGTGAGTGGCCTCAACCAATGCTGATATTTGTAGGCCAGGAAACAGCAGCAGAGTTGCTGTGCTATCTGGTGGGTAGGAAGACCATTGAGGATGGGTCCCTCAAATCCCACCATCAAGATGGCTCACTGATCAAAGCTGACACAACAGGCCAGGCCTGCCTGATTTCATGGTAATTTTGATCTTTCAGGCAAAGAAGGGGAACTACGCCTTCCTGTGGGATGTGGCCGTGGTGGAATACGCAGCCCTGACAGATGACGACTGCTCGGTGACTGTCATCGGCAACAGCATCAGCAGCAAGGGTTACGGGATCGCCCTGCAGCATGGCAGCCCCTACAGGGACCTCTTCTCCCAGAGGTAAGCTCAGGCAGCTGCCTCGGGACTCTAGTGTCTCGGGACTCTGGTGGTCGAGGGTAAGAGAATAACCTCTTAGAAGACAAGAGCCCATGCAAACACCTTTGTTCATCACATTTTCCTAAGCACCTACTATGCCCCACTGCTTCCTCCTCCCCTACCCTCAGACCCTGTGGAAGTGTATGGTCCCTGCCAGGAAGGCTCAGAGTCTCTGTGGGGTCTCTGTTGTGAGCAGGTAATGCCAGCCCAGAGCATATTAGCATGTGGCAAAGACATCCTCAGTATGCTAGGGTAGAGGCAGGCAGAAAAGGGCATCTCACCAGACCCAGGATATCTGGGAGAACTTCCCAGAGGAGGGGACACCTGAGGCTGGAAGAATGAGGAGGAGTTAGCCAGAAAAATGAATAATTAGCAGGATCTGATAAGGGCCTACTAATCACTTTTAAAGAGAAATGTACCTATAAAGTGGAGTAGTCAATATGGAGACTTTTAAAAAGTAGGGTCAGAGAAGCAGAATGTCTCCATATTTATTTGCACGTGGCTGGAGGGGGCCTCTGATTGTAGGGCAGCAGTTTTCTTGTCCAAGGAGATGCTGTCTGCTGGGGCAAGGAAGGGATGTGGTCTTAGCCAGAAAGGGTGGAAGTGGGGCATGGGTAGTTCAGTGGCCTTTGTCCAGTAGTCAGCTGTGAACAAGAGTTCCTGTCCCCAAGGTGTCTAAGCCTTGGGCCATCTTCTTGCACACATCTGGGAAGGGCATTTTGCTGGGTGAAGGGATGAATCTGCAGAGCCCAGTGAGGAAGCCCTAGGGGCCAGCTCTGCCAGAGTCCACCCAAATCCAAAATGAGGCAGAAGCATCTGAATGAAAAGGCTGGCATCATGCCAGGTTCAGGGGCAACGCTTGTCGACTGATTAATGCATGGATTTCAGTACTAAGGAACTTCTATTTGGAGACGTGAAGTCCTTTTAAATCATTTCTTTAACATCCTGCAGTTCAGAGAGGGTAACTGGAATATCCAGGTTGCTGAGCCAGCTGCTGGCAGAGCTGAAAGTAGAATCCAGGTCTCCTGAGCCCTAGGGCTATGCCCATGTGGCTGCTGGATCTCCAAGCCCCACAACCTCCGTTCTCCCACACTCTAGATGTCCACATTGTGCCCTTCTGCTCATGAGTACCTGGGCCTCAGCCCCATCAAGGGAAGGCTGAGGAGGAGGGCCTGCAACCAGTCCATTCAGTGGCTTCTTTGCAAAACCGAGGAAAAGAGTAGGGCTAATTAAGGTAAATGAGACTTTTGGGTTTTCCCTTAAATTTAATCAAGTATACATTCTGTTCCTCCCTCTACTCTCTGGAGCAGAGAGAGATGACAAGAGGAAAGGAGTAGTAGTGATTTATCAATTGCTCAGATTAAATGCATGAAGAAAGAATGGCTTCTCTCCAGGATTTATAACACATTGGTGTTCTTGAGGTTCACACCAGTTGGTTTTCCGAGATGGGAGGCTCAGGATGATTCCACAGACCATCAACCTCTGAGCATCTCTCTAGAACAGATGGTAAGAGAGCCCATGGGGCCAACACAGCAGCAGCACCAAGACCACTAATGTGCCCCAAGACAGCGCTCATGGAAGCACAGGGGCCCTAGTGAGGAAAGGTTAGCGTCCCCGTGTGCTCACACTGCTCCCATGGCTCCTGAGAGTCTGCTGAAGTGAACATTGACACACTGGAGAGAAGAGGCAGCAGACATTAGTCCAGGAGCCCCGGTCTTGCCTGGATTGCTGAATGGAGTCAGAGCAGAGGGGACTCCCATTAGGTCAGAGTAGAACCTGAGAATACTCAACCTGGGGAAGGTGGAGATGAGTGGGGAGGGATGTGGCTGCTCACCTCCAATATCGTAAGCCTTGCTGGAGGCAGAAGGAGTGAGATGTCCTTTGTGTGACTTCAGAGGACCAGGGCCAGGGCCAACATGGGGTGTGTGATTCCAGAGACCAGGCTTTCTGAAACAGGTCTGCCCACTACCTGTCCACTCACTGACCGTGAGGTCCATGTGCAAAACCTCCCAACAGAGACCCCATGGGCTGCTCTCCTGACTCCAGCAGTCACCATAATCAAATGTGGCTAGTCCAGTTTCCATGTCATTTTGACAAGTAGTGTTTGATTACTGTTTGCTTTCATCAGAAGGCATGTGCTCTGTGATTATAAGGAAACGTCACCCGTGGCCTGTGCTGGCCTCCCATGGTTTCCTCATCTTCCTGTATGGTACAGTTCCTTCTGCGCTGGGATCATCCCTTGAGTAGCAACACTCAGACCTCAGGTTGCCAACTTACTGATGCCAGTGGTTCCTTAAAAGGTTCTGTTGGGCTGGGTGCAGTGGCTCTCCGCACTTTGGGAGGCTGAAGCGGGCAGATCACGTGAGGCCAGGAGTTCAAGCCCAGCCCGACCAACATAGCAAAACCCTGTCTGTAGTAAAAATGCAAAAAATTAGGTGGATGTGGTGGCGCACATCTATAATCCCAGCTACTCGGGAGGCTGAGGCATGAAAATTGCTTGAACCCAGGAGACGGAGGTTGCAGTGAGCTGAGATCGTACCACTGCACTCTAGCCTGGGCGACAAAATGAGACCCTGTTCTCAAAAAAAAAAAAAAAAAAAAAAAAAAAAAAAGGCTTTCTTGTATGGTGCATACAGAACTGTGAGCTGCCCCTAGCTAAGGCATGCTTTAGAGGAGTGAAGGGACAGGTCCTGAGAGCAATGCCTCATGCCATTTGTAGAAAACAGGTTCTGGTATAAATGGTAGGTCCTAGCCTTATGTGGAACTGCTGTGACTGTCTTTCCCTTCACCCTGGGAACTAAACTACTTCCTTCAATAAAGATATGCTCTTTTGCTTTGGCAGAAGACAGAATCTAGATGCATGTGTATGTGTGGCAGGGCTTATGTGCTATAAACAGGCTTGCAGACCACGGCATGCAGAGTGGGCATTCAATAAATGTTTAGCAACTTAATAGCCATTTATTGAGCACCTACTGTGTAGCAGGCTCCACAGCTATTGAATAAAAAAAAGCACCTGCAATTATATCTGTCTGGAAAATAGAACAGCTGGCTTCAGGAAGTGGCTATTATCCCTCTGGCTTTCTTGTAAGCGGGAGTATGGATTATTATGGTGTGCATTAGTTTAGCCTCATTCTCAAAGTCATTTTGTACCTGTGACTTGTTTTATCTTTCCTCTGTCCCTTCCATATTTAAATATCATTTTTGTTTGTTTAGGTTTTTTGTTTTATGTTATGCTTTCCTGTAAATTGCCTTACTATCATTCTGGGATAAGACTGGGTATAAAAAGTGCATACAATTATAGGGAGCAGGAAGAAGAGGTCAGCAAAATTAAGCAACTTCCCTGACATTGCACAGGATCTGTCTAATGAGCAGAAGAGTGGGGACCTGACCCCACAACCACCATCTAGCCAGAGCCTCACCATCCCCTAGGCCCCAAAGCTGGCCCCAGGAGAACAGCCTGCTGTTCTGGAAAGAGCATGGCCTCCTGGGTCAGAATGACCCAGCTCTGATGAGCAGCATTGCCACTTTCTAATTGCAACAGTGGGCAAGTCATCTAGATTCTGAGCTTTAGGTCTTTGAGACGTAAAATAGACATAATAAGAACCACTTTGCAGGCTGTTATGAGGATTCAAACAGTGTAAAATGATCAGCTCCTACTGTGTTCTCTATAAAAGGTCGCTCATGTCAGTGCTGGCAAGATAAGGCTACTGGTCAATGTGGCCATCAGGCTGACAACTACTAACCAGTTTTTATGGAGCTCTGATTACTGGCTGGATCTCAAGCTAACGGTCTGTATGTGTTCCCTCTTCTCATTTTGTCGCAATATCCTGTGAGGTAGGTACATTTATAATAACCTCAGGCTTTAGTGATGAGAGAGCTAAATTTGAGAGACTCCAAGCCTGGATTTGAATGGATAGCCATGAACACGAAGCTCTACCGTCTATCCATAGCTAGCTAGTTGTTCAACTGCTGACTTCCTCAAAGGCCCTGAGGTCCTGCCTATCTGTCCCTGAGGTTCCTGCAACTGCCAGGAGGCTCAGCCTCCTCACGCCTACCAGCACAGACTTATTAAGGCCAGTGAACAGGCAGACGTGCAGCCACTGAGTTGGCCCGACATGATCATATGAGGTGGTACAACACTGCGGCTGTCCGGTTCACCATGTGATGTGCCATGAGAGGGGTCTGTAGTGTTCTGGGGCAATCTAAGCATGACCCCAAACCATATAAATGCACATGTATCTTAACAACCAAGTCCCTGAATGTACAGCCACATTCTGTGTCTTACATCCTGACCAGTGCCCTGAGCACTTAATGGACATTATATCAATATCTAACCACAGCCATCTTAGTCAAGTTTTTACTGCTTAATTAGTACATTCACACATTTATTGACACAACAGACATCTACTGACAGCCTTAGTGGTGCCAGTCACTGTGGTTGCTCAGGGAAAACAGAATAACCCACAGCTCCTGTCCTGAAGGATCTGCTCATCTAAGTGGGGGTCAACAGTTTATGTTGCAAAGATGAGAACACTGAGCTTTAGGAGGGGCAAGTCCCTGGTCCAGGTGAGGTCTGGTGCCTCCAAAGCCAATCTTTGCACTGAGCCAGGCCATTCCCAGACATCAAGAGGCCATGCTGTGCTGGGCCCATGATGCTGACAGGTCTTGGGACCCCCTCAGGGTTGTGACTCTTGTCTCCACCAGACACAAGCCCATCTATGGGAATTGAGCATAGCCTCAGGTCTGTGGTCACAGCTGAGCTGGAATGCAGATCCATGGTAGAGATCACACAACTGTCCAGTGGGCAGTGAATTTCTCCCAGCTGTAAACAACTGCTGCTCTCTAACAACACACACCCAGAGAACTCAGAGGGACCTCTACAGATGTTATCAGTCGAATATATCACCATGGATCAGGCTTAAAGAGCTCCACTCCCCACTGGAAAAGCTTAGGTGTTTGGGGTCTGAGTGCTACCAGCTACCACTGGCTCTCTGTAAAGACTCCTGGGTTACAGACAAAAATACCACAACCAAAGAAAACCACAGTGGGGAGTACAGAAGCAGCATGGGTTGTCCCACCATTGCACACATGATGAAATCGAAACTGCCGCTCATGGCCTCTCAGAGCCCGTGTCTGGGCTCTGCCTTCTTCCCTGTCCTCACCTGATGCCTGCTCCCGTACCACCCAATAGCCTCCCTGGCCATTTTTCCACTTCTTAAACGTGCTAAGCGCTACCCCAGACATGACTTTCACATGGGGTGTTAGTCTCAGGGAGGTTCTTCCTCCTCCAAGTTGAAAGCCAACCCTGGCAGCCTCATAATGACTTTGGCAAGACATTTCACCTCTCTGTGCCTTGATTTCCTTCTCTGTAAAATGGGAAAGCAGGAATAACCATCTCAAAGGATTGGCATGCGAATGAAGATTCAAAACTATTTGCCAAGCATGGAGGGTTCCCCTTGGCACGTAGAACATGCTAGACCCATGTGAGCTGTTTTATGATTAATCATCCTTCAAGCTTTCCCCTACCTGTAGGCTCCTTGGTGAGGATTTCTCCAATCCTCCAGTGAACACCACCCACCATGTGCTGTTTCCTAGAACCTCTACTTTGATTAATTTTTTTTTTTTTTAAATCACAGTTCTGCCCGTACTTTGATTGAGCTAATTTTTTTTTAGGGTCAGTGATTGTATCTCTAGACCATAAGCTCAGCAGTGCTGAACATCATACTAGGCAAAGCACAGAAGGTCCTCAAATCAAATGATTGTATGAATAATTTGGTGAATCCCAGTGGGAGAGACTTAGGATATAGTAATGAAAGCTCAAAAGAAAGCATTTTCAGGATCAGGAATATCCTAAATCCACAACCTAAATGTTTGCCTCTTTCCTTTCTGTATTTCCCAGTTTTATCTTGAGCTCTTGCCACAGAATCCATGTGACGGGCCTTATGTGATTTGCTGTTAGACTTTATTCTTGGGCAGTGGGATAGGGTGGGAGAGAGCGGGGGGCTGTTGGGGAGGGAAATGACAAAACTTAATGTGCATTTTGGGAATAACACTTTACCTGCAGTGTGGAGAGTGGACTGGGAAGAGAAGAGCTAAGGCAGAAAGCTGCTAGGATGGCTCAATGTTGTCTGTGGTGGGGCCAGCATGGTGGGGCAGGGGCCAGGGCCCTCATGGCTGAGTCGATGAGGTCAGTGGCTATAGCTCACCTGGATTGTGTCTTGCAGGATCCTGGAGCTGCAGGACACAGGGGACCTGGATGTGCTGAAGCAGAAGTGGTGGCCACACATGGGCCGCTGTGACCTCACCAGCCATGCCAGTGCCCAGGCCGACGGCAAATCCCTCAAGCTGCACAGCTTCGCCGGAGTCTTCTGTATCCTGGCCATCGGCCTGCTCCTGGCCTGCCTGGTGGCTGCCCTGGAGTTGTGGTGGAACAGCAACCGGTGCCACCAGGAGACCCCCAAGGAGGTCAGCACCCTGGGGCCTGCCCTCCCTTTCGCAACCTAGAGGCAAGAGTGTCACACTGGGCCGTTGGGAGGGCAGATTGTTTCTAGTTAGTAGTTACCTGAGTCATCTTGTCTGGAGACAACAGAGTTTTATATTGGGGGATTTTGTTGTTGTTTTATTTTGTTTTTAAAACTAGAGAAGAATGTAGGGGATGTTTTCTTGCTTGAACAAAGTGCTGCAGTGCCAGCCTTAGCCACTAAAGTCCTGTATTTATCTATAGAGCAGGTACAGCGTGGGCAGCGCCAGAGAGCCCTTCCCTACCCTGCCCCGCCCATGTGCCTCCACCCTGACCTGGAGAGACCACCTGTAGGGTAAGAGAGGAGCCCATTCCTTCCTGATTCTCTTTGACTTCTCACCAAGGGCCACAGGGCACTGTTCTCCGAGAGCATCAGGGGATCCCTGTCCCTCCCAGCACTCCTTTCTCCCTATATTCCTCCTCCTTGCAGGGCCCAACCTTGCCCCTGTCCCTCCTGGGTACACCCAGCCCAGGGAACACTCTAGCTCTGTCCAGACTCCAGGTTCTGGGCACAGGTCCCTCCCTGTGTGTGCCAACTGCAAGTTGATTCTGTCCCTTCACACTTCCTTCTTATTGGGTTTGTATTCTTCTGTAAGCTCTTTTTTTTAATTTTTATTTTTTCTGAAATAAAGCCTTCACCAAGGTCCCCCAGAGACCTGGAGACAGTTCCCCTAAGGGAGGGTGGAAAGGAGTGTCATTTGGTGATGATGCTTTGCCAGCAGAAACTACACATGCCCAGCCACACCATCCGCGGGGCTGTCACTCTGGGCCACATAGGCCTGAGCTATGTCTAGAACCACAGCTCTGCTTAGAGACTCTGTGGGTGCAAATGGATATAAACCTCAAACAGGAAGCGGTAAGGCAACCTGCATCAGACCCAAAAGCACTTCTGTTTTGTTTTTGTTTTTTACCTGTTTTTGTTTTTACTGAAAGCTCAGATAGTACCGGGCAGTTCATTAAATGGTTTCAGAGGAAGGAGGTCCAAGGGGCACAAAAATAAACTGAGCCAGGAAAGAAAAACAGCCAGGAGGACGTAAGAGCTGGCAGGCTCCTTCTCAGCCTAATTTCAAGCAGGGATTTGGCACCTCTGGACAGGAAGGGTGGGTCCACCATGTCTGTGGCCTGGGTGTCTGGCCACATCTCACCCTCCATTCGTTGGTCTGTAAGGGCATTCCTGGCAGGTCAGGGGTGAGGACAGGGGTGGGTGTCCCTCACTCCTATACAGGACTCTGCATTATACCAGGTAGTGAGCTCTCTGTCCTTACGCTGTCTCTTCCCTGGAAGGAGGAGACTGCTTAACTCTGTACATCTGCAATATTCGGGGACATCTGTCTTCCTCTCCGTCCTTCAGTGTATCTCCATGTAAGGGAATGTGAAGCTGGAGCCAGTTGCAGCTTCAGTGGCTGTCCTGTCACCCCCAGAGCTCAGAAGGGAAGGAAGGCAGAGCTTTGAGGAAAAGGCCTGAAAGGAACAATTGATGGTTCTGTCCCGAGCTGCTTTGGCTACCGGAATATTTTGTATGAAGAAGTCAGTGGGAGGGATAGTGAATTATTTTGACGAGCAGTGCTAAGGAAAGGCCGCACATATCTGACCTCTCCTCATCGTGTCAGCCCCTCCACGCCATGGCCAGTGTGCACCATTCACCTGCTTGGCACCACCCAGGTCTCTATGCACGGAAGCATCAGTGGGCAGCCATGGTGGCGTGGTCCCAAAACCACTCCCAGTAGAACCAAGAAGGATGAGAAGGATGGAAAAGACCAGGCCCCCAAATTGGTCCACCTTGCTCCCACTCCGTGTTGTTTGTTTTGGGTTTTGCTTATTTTCCATAAGTCTTCAGCCTGGTTTCCTCTGTGCAAAGGCCTTTTGTGTCAGGGGAGCAGGGGAGGGTCTCCAGGTGGATGAAAATCACACTGTCAGGAATTTGCCTTCCTGGGCAGCAGTGGGCAAGGCTGGGGGCCTGGAGACACAGGTTCAGGCTCAGCCCCAGCCTCTAGCCTATCATCTGTGAGCCACATGCAGGGAGAGCTCGTCCTTTGGATGGGAAGTCATTGTCTGCTTTTAGCCATGTCCCTTCACAATGCCTAGTTTAGTGACGGTTTGGACAATTTCAGCCTGGACCACCCACAGTTAATTGTTGTGGTATATGTGTGTGAGAGAGACAGACAGAGAGAGAGAGAGAGAGAGAATGAGAGAGAGAGAGAGAGAGAGAGAGAGAGAGAGACTGGTGATTGTTAAAGAGACATAGATAGGAAGACAGAAAAGAAAAGAGAAAAAAATGTAGAGACCAGGAGACCAAGGAATCACCTAGCTGTGAGGAACAGCTCCTTTCTTGCCGGTAAAACATCCTAACTTTTATTCTGGCTTCGGCATAAGTCCAGGATCTCAGTTATGAAATGATGAATACATCAGCCCTGCTTCCAGAATGTGGGACTTCCTGCCCCTGCTGCCAACCTGCTTCCAGATAAGAATGAGGACACATGGGGAGAGGCAGGTTGGAAAAGCACAGCAGCTGCCTGTCCTCCAACCCCTTCTGGTGTTCCTAGGAAGGGTTGCATGGAAATGTTCCATCTTTTTCCTATTTTTATGGGTTTCCAAATTTCAAATGCAATGTCTCCCTTCCTTCTTCCCTCTCTCCCTTTCTTCCTTTAATAAGCCTGCCTGTAGAGACTCGGCCCCTGCCTTCAGGGAGCTTACCTCCTCATGCACAGATGTGGCAGAGAGCTGGGCGCAGCAGTCTCCACTCATTGAGCAGGCTGTCCTGCAGTGATCAGCAAGTATCACAAAAGTGCTGAGGGCATCCAGCCCAGCCAGGGCATGGTGGGGTCAAAGGGGTTAGGGGTGTAGTTATTGAAGACTACTTGGGGCTCAGAGCTGTTACAACTGAGCTTTGAAGCATTGATACAAATCCTGGTACTAAAGATGAGACAGGAAGTTGCATTTTGGGCAAAGTGAACAGCACAGAGGTGAAAAAAGTCATCATACCTCCTGGAGCTCTAGGGCTGAAGTGTCAACATGAGGAAGGAGATGCTAGCAGGGGAAGCTGGGGAGGGATACGGGGCCTGCACCGAAGAACTTAAATGCCAGACCGAGAGGTTTTGACTTTATCATGCAAGGAATAGGAACCAGGAAAGGGCTCAAAACAACAGTCTTTTAGAAGCATATTCTTAAAACCTTCAAAAAATAATGATGGTATTTAATCCAGAACTACTTTGTGCTCCTGGTTGCCCGTGTTTTATGGGGCAGCATTTGCAATTAGGTGAGAGTGTCTGGTTGATCTTTCAATGTTTCATTTTGAGGCATTGGCTGTATTTCTTAAGAGCCAGAAACCTGTCTTTGGGTAGAGCCCAAGTTGTGTTTAATGGCTTGCTCTAGGATGTCGTCACAGTTTAGACACCTACTTGAAGAAGAGTAGTAATGTGCGTTCAACCCCTTAATATTCATGTAGATTTGAGCTCATATTTTTTCTAAGGAATCAGACGATTATGTAGTTATCCAATGCAGGTGAATGCACCAAGCTCCATGGATGCAGTAAAGAGCCACCCGCTAGATTTATGGGAGATGTGGAGCCATTGCTCTGAGAATAAAATATTCATGAAATAAAGATGAGAACTGCAGAAATGGGAGATGACATGAGGAGTGAGATATGAATCATCCATCACTGGGCTCGGAGTTTGGAATTGTTGCTTTCTGCCTTGCCTGCCCTCCCTTGGCCTGGCTTCCATCGCACACAGGAGCTGGCTGAGGCCAGGGTAGCCGGGCAGCAGGGGACAGAGGAGCAGACGGCCCCTCTGTTCTGGCTGTGGGCAGCCTCTGTCTGCATGCCCCCACCTGCTATGAAAGATTAGATCCCAGAGGCCCTCACTTCTTCCACTCCACACCCTTCCTTGCCTCCACTCCTTTGATGTCTTCTTCAACTGCATGTAAAGAGTTTGCCCTTCTGCACATTTTTCTTCTTCATTTATGCCAACCCAGCAGTGTTGCATTGAGGATTCAACAAGGGAAGGCATATAAAGTGAATTAAAGATGTGCCTGGCCCAGGGTCGTGCTTGGTTGATGGTGGCCAAGGGGCTACTCCATCCAAAGGTTCTGGGCTAGGCAATGAGGAATATGAGGGAGACAAGTGACACCTTAGGGCTCCTTTCCTGTGCTGAGCAATCTTGTTAGTCCTCTTCAGTAGTTGAGGAAGGCATCCTTATCCTTGATGAAATCCATCTCAGAAGTGAGAAGGGTAGAGATGGGATGTGAACAATGTGTCTACCTCTGTACCCCTGCTGCCTCCCAGGTACAAGCTTTTCAAAAGGCCAGGGCGCTGTCCTTTCCACTGGGTATGTGCATGAGCCCATTGGGTTCCGAGGCAGCATTTTCTAGAGGACTTGGGAATGAAGGTTGTGACTTGGTGCTCTACCCGGGGCCAGGTTCCTGGCTTCTGGTTACACATTTACATTATCTGAACCTCAGTCTCTCCCTTCTGCTAGAAACAACCTGGCCTGAGAACTATGCTCAGGAGCAAATGGCTTAGCATGAGAGTAAGAATAGTGAGTGTGCATATTTCAGCCCACGGCCTCCAGTGAGAAGCCATGGAACACTTACCATACACCACTGTGTATCTCAAAACCAGATCACTTGGCAAAGCCTCCCCTGCCTGCTGCCACCACTAGCTGCCTCCCTTGCTGGGTGTGCTCCACATTGCCAGTAATTATTTACCTGCCTGTCTCTGCTTCAGATCCGTCAGTGCCTCCTCACCTCTGGATTCCCATCAATTTGCCTTCTCTCTGGAACAGTGGAAGCTCTCATTAAGGGGTGATGAATATAATTGAAGTATTGAGCACTTTCTGTGTGCCAGGGACCAAGATAGATGCTTTATCAAGAACATTAGCTCATCTGGTAGTAGGAGCTCAAGCACGTTTATTGAATGAATGAACTAGTCTGGACTCACATAAAGAAA